GTGACCATTTCTTGAACCCTGTTACACCTGTCATGCTCTGAATTGTATATGCTGAATAATGGCTTGGGACTTTCCATTGTACTGTCTGCTGAAATTTTCCAGCGACCCCCCTCACTCTCTGGTTTGTGGTTTTGTCCTTTATATATCCTACACTCCCCAAGCTAGGGGTTGAGCTCCTCTGCCCCTACGTTGGTTACGAGTCTCGGCCTCAGCACACTGATTGAAATATACCTCTTGCGGATTGCAACAAGGATCAATGTCTTGTGAGTCATTGGGTGGCCATGATCTCTCGTGGCTTGAGTAGGGGGTCTCACCTCCCCGGGGGTCTTTCAATAGTAACATCTTATACAATTGGCACAATATTGAATGTTGTTGTTTTTAAACCAAATCCGAATCATTTCATGTTACCAAATGAGTACTCAGGAGCCAGATGCTGGGGTGAAAATCTCAGAGAGGCAGAGAAAGCACCCAGCTGACCTTCCTCTGTTGACATCAAGAACTGGTTTTAAATGCTAACATCCTCAACCAACATCCCAGAAGGAAAGAGCCAGTTCTCCTACTCCACACTGTCTTACAAACCCTTCAAACTCAATGTCCTTCCTTTGTACTTCCTGTGTGCCTCTCTGTCTGCTCTCCTGACTTCCTCTCACTCTCTATGGTGTTTTCCTCTGTTCATTCTCTGTCAACAGATTGCTTGCTCGGCCTCTTGACCTACGGTTGACTTTATTTAATCCTGTTTACGATAAACAGAAAGGTCTTTGGTTAAAGGCATGTGCTAGGGCTGAGCCACACAACTAGAGACAGGTTTTTTTCAGGACTCATTCTCAGGGTCTGCAGTGTGATCAAATATCCTGCTGCAAGAGGCATTCACATTTGTTTCCTCATGCACTTGTTTGTATGTGCAGCTCTGTGCAGGTTTATCACATGTATTGTTTTGTACAATCCCCTCCACAATTACGTTATAGAAATTGCACTGTCCCGGGACTCCCCTCCAGCTCCAGGTCTCACACAGTTGCCTCAGACTCAATGTTCCTTGAGCCTTGGAGGGTTGAGGTGTCTCACTTGTGGCTTAAAGCTAATCAAGCCCTTCTCAGCAATGGGAGAATACTTCTTGACTATAGTCTTCCATAGACGTCATTGTACTTTCTCATACCGTCTTTTCCTGACATATTTGGGGTTCCACCCAGATCCTCCTCCTATTGATTTTTTCTTTTCAAAATGATTTCATTTTATTTGTAATTTTATTTGTTATGGGGGGTGCATGGCATGGCATTCCTGTGAAAGTCAGAAGACAACTTTATGTGAGTTGTAAGGGGTCAAACTCAGGCTGTCACACTTATGGATAGGGACCTTTACCAGCTGAGCTGCCTTGCTGGCTGAGTATTAAAAAAAAAAAATCATGAAATCATCTTTCCCTACCATTAAGTTTGGAAGAGTTGTTAAAAATAAGTCTTCTGACTGCCTTAGTTTTATAAAGCACACAGAAGTCAGAGTGCCTTCCATGCCAGCTCTCCTGTCAGTGACTCTCCTTCATTGTGTGTCTCTTTCTGTACAGTGGCAGCACTCCTGTGCAGTCTCTAGCCAGCTGGTTTGGAAGTTCATAGATTCCTGATGCGGCTCCTGTTATTGTCTAGGACTCAAGGGTGGTTCAACCCAACCTGCTTAGAGCATGGGACTTTTGCAGGGTGCTTTGTCCCTGTGTGAATCCCTGGTGTCTAGTAGGGGGTTTGCTTTCCTTCAGGTTTGGATATTTTCTGTACTCCCCAGAAGGCCTGTTTTTAAAGCAATGTGTGTGGCTTTAAAAGTCTGCATCACAGAGCCTACCTAGTTGCAGTGGTTACTTTCCTTACTGCTGGGATATAAGCAAAATGGCTCACAAGAAGCAACGGAAGGAAGGAAAGGGGCCTTATTTTATGGCTTACACTTCAAGGAGATACATCCCATCGTGGTAAAGAAGGCTTGGTGCAGAGTGAGAGACGGGCTCGTTCCATCTATAGTCTGGAAGTAGAGAGTGAACATGAAATGAGGCCCAGTATAATACCTCAAGGTCCACATTTAGTGACCCAGTTCCCCGAATAAGGCCAGATAGTCTTAAAACCTTCCCAGGTGGGGCCCAAGTTTCAATCACATGAGCCAAATGAGAGGGTAGTTCAGTTTCAAACCACAATAGATTTATTAGACTGGCTTATAGCCTGTGGTCTGGGCAGTCTAACATTGGCTGGCTTCTGGTGGAAAGACCAAGAATCTGGTTATACAGTCCAAGACACTGGATGTCTCCACAGTATACTCCGGTGTTAGAGACATTAAGTTTTTTAAGGTTTTGTTTGTTTGTTTGTTTTTGTTTTTTCTTTTTTTGTTTTTTCTTTTTGAGACAGGGTTTCTCTGTGTAGTCCTGGCTGTCCTGGAACTCGCTCTGTAGACTAGGCTGGCCTCAAACTCAGAAATCTGCCTGCCTCTGCCTCCCAAGTGCTGGGATTAAAGGCATGCACCACTACTGCCTAGCAAGACATTAAGTTTTACTGTTTAAGTTTTCCCTCTATATTGGAATCCTGAAGAACTAGGTTCTAACATCAGTAAAGGAGTATCTCAGCAACAGGATAGAATCGCTTATCACCAAGCAGCCAAAAAGCAAAAGCATCCTTATTCATTTCTTGATCCAATCAAGAAAAGCCATCCTGGGCTGGAGAGGCGGCTCAGTGGTTAAGAGCACTGACTGTTCTTCCGGAGGTCCTGAGTTCAATTCCCAGCACCCACATGGTGGTTCACAACCATCTATAATGGGATCAGATGCCCTCTTCTGGTGTGTCTGGCAGCTACAGTGTTCTTATATAAATAAAATAAATGAATCTTGCAAAAAAAAGAAAGAAAAGCTATCACATGAGTGCCCAGCTGCTTAGGTTATATTTGATTCTGGATGTATCAAGTTGATAACCAATATTAGCCATCACATCAGAGACTCAAATGCACTATCTTTTGCCTACAAATAAATGTTATTTTCTTTCTATAAACTCCTTTTTCTTTTTTCAAAAATTTCTCTTTTCTTCTAATGGGATGTTCTCTGCTGTTCCTTTATTCTCATACTGACAATTGAGTTTGTTTTCAAATACATTTCTTTTATACACATATAATGCTATAAATACCCTTTTAGCTATTACTTATATGATATATCGTAAAATTTGATAACATAAAATGCTACCATTGATAGTTTTTCAAATATTATTTGACTTACATTGATTGTTTTCTTCAAAGAATCATTCAGAAATGCACTTCATCTGATTTATTTTTGCTTTAAGATTACAGACACTCTAGAATTTTTGTACCTAAGTTTATGAGGACTTCTAATTTTATTTTGCTAATATTGAAAAGAATAGTATTGTACTGGCTGGTTTTGAATCAACTCGACATAAGCTACAGTCATCAGGAAAGAAGAAGCCTCAGTTGAGGGAATGCCTCCAAGAAATCCAGATATAAGGCTTTTTCTCACATGGTGATCAATCCAGGTGGGCCAAGCCCATGGTGGGTGGTACTATCCCTGGAATTGTGTTCCTGGGTTCTATAAGAAGGCAGACTGAACAAGCCATATAAAGCAATCTAGTAAGCAACACACACACACACCCGCCCCATGGCCTCTGCATCAGTTCCTGCCTCCAGGTTCCTGCCCTGTTTGTGTTCCTGCCCTGACTTCCTTTGGTGATGAACAGCAAAATGAAGTGTGAGCTGAATAATCTCTTTTCTTCCCAACTTGCTTTCTGGTCATGGTGTTTCATCTCAGCAATAGAAATCCTAACTAAGACAAGTATATATTACAATACTTCATTGAGATTGGTTAAGCCTTTCTTTATAAATGTGGTCAATTTTGCCAAATGAACTACGTGAGAGTAAAATGTATATATTTTATATTGGTTAATTTTAGGACACTTTCTATATAGATTATTCTGTTTCTCTGGGCATTATATAGTTGACCCAAACACACTGAGTTGCACTCCTACTCCCTCTCTCTCTCTCCCTCTCCCCCTACAACTCCCTCCGTGAGTGTGTGTGTGTGTGTGTGTGTGTGTGTGTGTGTGTGTGTGTGTGTGTAGATTTAGAAATATGTAACCTGTAGAGATAGAAAAGGGTAACCCATAAGTCATGATAGTGTTTGTGGTGTGTGCTGGTACTCCTGGAGGGCAAAAGGAGAAGTAGGATCTCATGATCTGAAGTTACAAGTACTTTGGAGCCTGATGTGTGTGCTGGGAATCAGCAGTATCCCCAACCCCAGGAGGAGCCATCTCTCCAACCTCAGGTGGACTGACTGCTGCTGTGTCACAAATTCTCTTTTGACTTTCTACTTTGCTGAATTGTAGTAATAATATTTTTAAGATCCCAGCACAGGCTTACTTCCTGTCTTTGACCACTTATGCTCCTGGAGGAAAGATACACACAGCCTTATATTTTTAAATCTGCCTTGGGCAGCAGCAGCAACTGTCCACCCTCCATGATGTTAGAATCTACTTTCCTACCAATAACTCCAAGTTACTGCTTACTAATTTCTGTGTTCCATCTGGGCTGCTCTTAACTCCAGTTGGCCAGCCCACATGGCCACATTTTTATGGCTCAGGTATCCCATGGCAGCTCTTCTTCTCCCTCCTGCTTGATGTTCCAATTTATGATGGCTCCTTTCTGCTTCTCCTTCCTCTTCCTCATGGCCCCAAGCCTGGAAATCTAAACCTTCTCTCCAGTCTCTTCTCTCCAGCTATTGCCTGCTGACATCTTTATTTACCAATCAGAATTAACTGGGTGCAGGGTTCCTCAGTGTCTTACCAGCAGACTCTCTCCTCTTTGGGGCAAATTAGCATTAGAATACAAGCAGCCCACTACACATAATATCAAAGGAGCTGAATTTTAGGTTTTTTTTTTAAAGGAATACAAACCAGATAGTTGAATCCACAACCTAATACTGAGATGAACAGTGTTTTGTTGTTGTTTTTATTAACATGAATTTTCATCTCATTTCTTAGATTAACTTAGAGTATGAAGGAACCTCATTTAAATCGTGGACAGTATCAGAAAGATGTAAAGTTCAAAACACTACGTAAGTTGTTTGTTGTTGTTTTACCCTATATATACATCCATTTGTCCTACATTGTAAAAATGGCCTTCATTCACATAATGTAGATGTTCAGACTTAAAAGCTCTGACTTCGTGTAAATCTCCTTCCACTAAACATGTGTGAAAAGAAAGGCTAGCTCACTTTGAAAGCAGAAGGAAAATGCCCCATGGAGGTTTGAATGAAAATAGTCCCCACCCCCACCCTGCTCTCCAATAGGCTATACATTTGCATGTTTAGTCTGCAGTTGACTGTTTAGAAGGATTAGGAGGTATTCAAGATATTCCTTGTTGGAATAGGTGTGTCCTTGCTGGAGGAGGTGTGTTGCTTGGGGTGGGACTTCAAGTTTCATAAGCTCATGCCTGGCCCAGTGTCTCTCCTGGCCTGCTGTGCGTGGATCAGAATGCACAGCTCTCAGCTGCTGCTCCAGTGCCTATCTGCTCCCCACTGTGATAGTAGACTAGACCTTTGAAACTATAAGCAAACTCCCAACTAAACGCTTTCTTGTATACAGTTGCCTTGGTCATGGTGTCTCTTCACAGCAGTGGAACAGCAGCTTAGACACTTGTTATATTAGAGGATTATTTTGTCTGGTTTTCTCCTTCTAGCATCCAATTGAATCGGCTTAAGCTTAAAAGTTATGGTTAATCAGCTTTATACACATTTGTAATTACTTCCTCTTCCCTGTTCTTTCTGAACACTAGATCACCCAAGACAACACTACACTGTCAAAGCGCTGGTACTCACAAGATAAAACCAGTTGCCACAACCCAAGTAAGTTGATTTTAGTGACATTATTTGAATCTTGAAAACAACCACAGTCGCGTTCTCCTTTAGCTCTCCCATCACAAACTGCTTTAAACAGTTTTAGTCATAACTAAAAATAAGAGCTATGTGAAAGTTTCTGCCAGTCTGTCCTTATTTTTCATGTCAGTATAAATGGTGAAATGATATCTGATTTTTTACTTCAGTTTTCATTTTTAATTGTTCATTTATTCATTCACTCACTCATTCATTATTGGATTGGACCCAAGAGCTTGTCCATGCTTGGCAATGTTGCACCATTTAGCTAGCAATCCCTACTCCTCAGCTTCTTCACCCGTTCATTAGTATGTTAGAGGCCATTAATGATACTCTTGGATGAACAGTCTTCAGTCACACATGGCAATGGTGACGGCCAAAACCAAAGGCAAATGTGAGACTTGTGTCTTACTTCATCTCCTCACCTTCAATTAGAGAACATGTATGAAGGCTGATGAGTGAAAGTGACACTGATTCTGCTGATGTGCAAAACAGACAGACAGTTGTGACAACCCAAAGCATCTCCAGACATTGTCAAACATACCCTGTCCCCTGGGAGGTTGAGAACTGCTGAGCCAGAAGAATGGCAGAGTTGAGTGTCAACAAAGGAGAAAAATAGGATAGATACGGTGAGGATAGCAAGCTGCCAGACTTGCCTTTAGTCTGGTACATACAGAGAAGCTGGTGGGTGAAACACCTGCTGTAGTAAAAACCTGTCAAGAAATCCTGACATGGGGTTTCTTCTCACCGTTGTGTATTTCTGTTCCCAGATGAAAGCATACACACATCCTTTATATTTCTATTTTTAAATATGCCTCAGGCAGCACACTAGCTGGGCAGCTGCCTCCCCTCCATGCTGTTAGAATCTATTACCCTATGGAAAACACCAAGCTGTCACTCATTATTTCTGTGTGTCATCTGGGCTGTTCTTAACTCCAATTGGCCTGCCCACAGGGCCAGGTTTTCTTTATTCATACCCACGGCAACTCCCCTCCCTCACCTCTCCCTCTCTTTCTCTCTCCCTCCCCCTCTCCTCTTTCTCCTCCTCTCTCATGCACATGTTCTTCCCCTCCTCCTCTACACTTCTTCTATCCCATGGTGACTTCTCCCTACTTCTCTTCCTTGTGGTTCTCAAGCCCAGGAACCTAAATCCCACCAGTCTCTTTCCTGTCTAGCTATTGGCTGCCAGCATCTTTATTCACCAATCAGAATTAACTTGAGAGCAGGGTCCCAGAGTCTACCTGCAAACTTCAGATCTTGGAGGCCAGCACTTAGCATTACATTAAACAACAAAACCTCAACTATCTTCTGTAGGCGTGGTATTGATTCTAGTCTAAAATTTTCTCTATTCTTAGGCAAGGAACAGTCCTCTGTAACATTTAAGCTTATATCGATATTGAATCTATTTCAAATATTACATATTTTTTTCATTTGTATTTTTCTTATAACCAGGAAGAACAACGGTATCTGACTGTGACTAATTCTTATGTTTGCTTCTTGTGGTATTTCACAGTTGTGTAAGTAAAACACAATATAAAGGTAATTAAGGCTTTCAGAGTATTTAGCTCTTGATTAAAAAAATCAATCACAAAAATGCATTATCTACATCATGATCTGTATATATATGTCTATTCACCAACCAAGATACTCTCAAGTGTATTGCCAACTTATAAAAAAATCAACTACAATTTGAGCACTTACTGCATTTCCATATGTCTGCTTTTTTCTTGTTTTTTTTTTTTTTTTAATTTTATGTTCATTGGTATTTTGCTTGCATATATGTCTGTATGAGGGAGTTGGATACTCTGGAACTGGAGTACCAGACAGGGTGAGCTGCCATGTAGGCACTGGAATTGAACTTGGGTTCGTTGAGAGAGAGAGCAGCCAGTGCTCTTAACCACTGAGCCATTTCTCCAGCTCCATCTGTCTGTTTTTATACAGGATCTCCCTGTATCCCTCTGGGTAGCCTGAACATAGCTTATAGACCAAGATGGCCTCCATCCTGTGATGATCTCTTGCCTCTGCTTCTGGAGGGCTGAGATCCTGAAGTGTCCAACGATGCCGAGCTTCAGTTTTTATACACGTGTTCTTTCTCTCAGTTTTTTTCATAATGATGATAGGCATGTGAGAACCATTATCCTTATTTATTAGATAAAGATATACTTTTGGGTGGGTTGAATATGACAACCAAACTACAAAGGTGCTGGAAGACAGCGAGAGACTTGACCTCTGGCTTTTCAGACCACAGGTCTCATCTGTTTGCAAAGTCTCCATCTTGCATAATTCTTCAGTCACTACTTAACACAAGAATGGGTGAGTAGAAGTAAAAGGAAGAAGAGTTTGATAATACTTGATTAATTGTGCTGCAATGTTATTCAATAAGTAAAAAACATTCAGTGAGCAGAAGCATGCTTTAGCATCAAAAACAAAGCAGAATGCATTTCATGGTTGAATGGAATGTACCTCTTTCTTTTTATCTCCATCACATGTGTTTTCTTAGAGGAAACCTTCCTCCCTCTTCCATAGTAATATTATTTCTTCATGTGATTTATACTGTGATAATGCTGTAACCTACTCTTCACTTGCTGCATTAGCAATCATCATGTAAGCAATCAGAACACTCACGGTTGTAGTGGCGTGGTCGAATGGTATTGACATCAGCTTCAGTATCTTCTTCGTGTGGTTCCTTAACATCTACCTATCCAGAGTCTCACTAGGAAGCGTGGTTTGAGCCTCTGTCACTCATGAAAATGTCAAGCTTTGTCCTCATTCTCAATCACTGGACTCCCTTCAGTGGATTCTGAAACCACGGAGCAATTGACAAGGGCAAATTTACAAGTAAAAACTCCTGATAGAGCTGTGTTAGGAAATTAAACCTCCACTGTGACCAAAATGGCTACTTTCTGCTTCTTTTAAAGAAAAGAACTTGGGAGCTACCAGAGAGGAAAATCTATCTCAATTAACTGAACTCCTGTGTCCCCGCCCAAGCTCATAGTGTAGAGCCTGCCTTGTAATGCTTTCTACTCAGAATGCAACCCACTAATCAGAGACTAGGAAGTTGTTAGAAGTCAAGAAAATTAGGCCACTTCATTTGTCCTAGACCTGCTATATGAATATTATTAACAAGACTCTATATTATTTGTACATGTGCTATAACTGGGAAGTACTGGTCTAAATATTAATTTCTCTAAAGCATGTACCTCAAATACAATTGCCTAAAAAAGGAGACCTGGACTTGTAGCTCACTGGTAGAGTGCCTACTCAAGCATGTACTAGCCTCTAGGTTGAGTTCCTGGGGAGGGAGGGAGTAGTGGGAGAGAGAGAGAGAGAGAGAGAGAGAGGGAGGAGGGGGGAAGAGATGCATTTATTCTAAATTATCCTCCAACTTTGTACATAGCCCCACACATAAAAATCTCCCATCCGGTTACTGGATCCCCAGAGGGTGATCCTTCAAGCACTTCCCACTGCCTTAGCTTTTAATCCCGCACAGTGGAGTGGATGTGAAATTATGTCAGTGTGTCATTTATTTTCACTTACTGGTGTCTCAGTTAGGGTTTCATTGCTATGAAGAAGCACCATGACCAAGGCAATTCTTACAAAGGACAACATTTAATTGGGACTGGGTTACTGGTTCTGAGGTTCAGTCCATTATCATCATGGCAGGGATTTATGACAGCATCCAGGCAGGCATGGTGCTGGAGGAGATTAGAGTTCTAAATCTTGATCTGAAGACAAGCAGGAAAAGACTGTCTCGGGGGAGCATGGAGGAGGATCTCAGAGCCCACCCTCACAGTGATACACTTCCTCCACAAAGCCAAACCCACTCCAACAAGGCCAGACCCACTCCAACAAGGCCAGACCCACTCCAACAAGGCCACACCCACTCCAACAAGGCCACACCCACTCCAACAAGGCCACACCTACTCCAGCAATGCCACGCCCACTCCAAAAGGCCATACCTACTCTATCAAGGCCACACCTACAAGGCCACACTCACTCCAACGAGGCTACACTTCATAATATTGCCACTCCCTGGGCCAGGCAAATTCAAACCAATACAACTGGTTACTAAAGACATTGAGTGTATTTTACACTTGTGGGAAATGCTCTCTGTTGTTAATAAGTATATTTTTGAGTTATTTTTCTTTTTCATAGTAGTTTATAAGACATTATTTTTAAATTACTAGTTCATTATCACTCACATGTGTTTAGACTATTTTATGTATCAGGTTTTTGTACTTTGCTACTTCTGCTTCCTGTTATTAACAGAGGCCCTTAACTATTGCAAATAAACTTTAAATCTTCCTTTGTGAGTTTTTGCCTACTAAATCTATTTAAAGAAAATTTCTGGGGACGGAGAGATGGCTCAGCTGTTAAGAGAACTGACTGCTCTTCTAGAGATCCTGAGTTCAATTCCCAGAAACCACATGGTGGCTCACAACCATCTCTAATGGAATCTGATGCCCTTTTCTGGTTTGCATGAAGATAGCTACAGTGTACTCATATACCTAAAATAAATAGATCTTAGAAAGAAAGAAAAAATAGATAAAGAAACAAAGAGAGAAAAATTCCTTACCTGTAAGATCACAGGCTTCTACATTAAGTTCTATATTAATTTTTTCTATAAAATTCTTAATCTGCACAGAGAGTGGTAGCACATGTCTTTAATCCTAGCACTTGAGAGGCAGAGGCAGGTGGATCTCTATGAGTTCCTGGCTAGCCTGGTCTACAGAGGGAGTTCCAGGACAGTCAAAGCTACACAATGAGGCCCTATATTGAAGCCTTCCTCCAAAGGAAAAAAAAAATTCTTAATCCTCTAGGTTCAAGGTAGACATTCACTTCTGTTGTTGTTTTTTTTGTTTGTTTGTTTTGTTTTGTTTTGTTGTTTTTTCGAGACAGGGTTTCTCTGTGTAGTTCTGGCTGTCCTGGAACTCACTCTGTAAACCAGGCTGGCCTCGAACTCAGAAATCCGCCTGCCTCTGCCTCTCAAGTGCTGAGATTTCACTTCTGTTTTTAAACATGAATAATTGGTTTTCATAACAATTTACTGAATAATGTATATACAGTATCTACTTGTTCATAACTCAGTTTTCTATATATGCCTGGCCGCCTAGGCTGTCTGTCCTAGTTAGCTGATCTATTTGCTTCTATGTTATCTTTGTTACTGTTTGTTTGTTTTCTATTTAGGTTTTTAATCCACTTAAAAGGTATTAGATGTCTTTATGACACTTTCCTTTTGTATTTTACGTGTATGAGTGTTTTGTGTGCATGTATATTTGTGCACCACATATGTGCAGTATCTCAGGAAACCAGAAGAGGACACTGGATCCCCTGAGGCCGCAGTTACTAATGGTTGTGAGCCACCTTGTGGGTACTGGGATCTGCAACCTGGTCCTCTGAAAGAGCAGCCAGTGCCTTTAAGCACTAAGCTATCTCTGCAGGCATTTTTGTGACATTTTCAAAGTGGGTTTTAATAGATTCTCCTCCCCCGCCCTCCTGTCCCCTCTTTCCATTCCTGTGTGGTCTCCCCAGAGCTACTTTTCACTCTCATGCCACATGGTTTCCTTTTGTCACCTCTCCCCACCCCATACTTTTTGAAACCATTTGTTGACCATCTTTCTAGTTTTATAGGCTTTACACAGGCACACCCATACACACCATACATCCCATAAACACCATACACACACGCATCATACACACACCACACATTAATACATACCACACACTATACACACACCACACACACATTCACATGCTCACACACACCGTACACACATGCATCATACACACACCACACACACATTCACATGCTCACACACACCGTACACACATGCATCATACACACACCACACACACATTCACATGCTCACACACACCGTACACACATGCATCATA